GGATTAACCCTGTGTTTGAGCTGAGCTGGGGTTAACCCCAGTCCTGGACTGCAATGGATTTAGCCCCACGTTGGACTGTGTAACTCCATGATCAGGCTGTGCTGGGTTTAACCCACATTTGGTCTGAGCTGGGAATAACCCCACTTCTGGGCTGCATTGGGTTTCGCCTTGCATTTGCACTGTGTTGTGACTAACCCTGCATTTGGGCTGAACTAGGGTTAACCGCACTCCTGAGCTGTGCTGAGTTTAACCCCGCATTTGGACTTCATAAACCCATGTTTGAGCTGTGCTGGGCCTAATCCCACATTTTGGCTGGGCTGGGTTTAACCCCACTGCTGGGCTGAGCTGCATTTAACCACACATTTGGACTGCATGGGATTTAACCCCAGATTTGGACTGCACTGGATTTCATCCCATTCCTGGGCTGAGCAGGATTTAATCCTGCATGGGATTTAATCTCATATTTGGGTTTCCCTGAGTTAAATCCCACACTAGGACTCTACTGGATTAAACCCTGCATTCAGGCTGCACTCCCTGCTTTCATTGGATTGCACTGGCCTCACAGGAAAAGGCTGCAACTGGTTCTGCTGGTTTAACTGGGGTAATTCCGGCAGGGGCTGCAGTTGCGCATGTGTTCATGCTGCCTTAGCCTAGCCTGGTGTGAGGGCCCATGGGTGCTCAGCACCCCACCGAAGTGGTACCAAAGAAAGCAGTGATTTGAGGTCCCCAAGGCACTGGAGGGGCTGAGAACTGCAAGTGGGGCCATTACCACGGCAGTCCCCAAGGTGGGTGAGGAGTTGCCACTGGGTGCTGCTGGTCGTCCTGGGGACTGTGCGTGGCCCTGGTGGCCCTGGAGGTGGTGGGGGACATGCTTCTGTCCCTGTCACACCCCTTGCTGGCCTTTCTCCGGGCACCCGGTGGTTGTGAGAGTGCATACAGGGGGCAGGGGTGGCTGGTTGCAGAGGACTGCCCCAGCAGCAAAGTTGATGCTCCCCCCTAACCTGAAGCCACATGATGATGGAAGTCACAAGTCTGCAGGGCTGGGATGCTGAGAGGTTTCTGGTCAGATTTGCAGCCACGAGGATGGACAGAGGCCAGGCTGCGGCTCCTTAGAACGGGGCACTGTGATCATAAGGGCTGCCAGGAGGAGAGGGGGTTAGTGGGTCTCTGTGCTCGTAACCCTGCAGGAAAGCAAGAAAAGGGAAACTCCTGCTGCTTGGAAACAACACCGCCCTTGGCCATGGGACATGTTTCCCGCAGTTGGCACTGGCAGAGAGGAGGGTCTGGGGTGCAGGAACAGGGATTCTCCTCCAGCTCCGAGACAGGAATCACAGGATCACAGGATGCTTTGGGTTGGAAAGGACCTTAAGATCATGTAGTTCCAAACCCCCTGCCATGGGCAGGGACACCTCACACTAGACCATGTCAGTGCAGTGTAGTACCATCTCAAGGGCATTAGAGCTCTGACAGGTCATTGCCCGTTGCAGAGAAGCTTTTTGCAGGTAGATGACTGCAGCAGAGAGCTGCCAAGTGCTCTTGGGTTTTATTTACCACATCTCTATAGCAGTGATGCTGCCCCAGGCCACACCGGGGGGGAGTTTAGGAGGCACCCAGATTTCTGTGCTCAGTGGGGAGCATCCCGTTTCTCTCCACTGCCATCTTTCAGCCCTGCGGCACAGTGTCATCTGCTTGTGTCCCCCTCCCCACCACCCTCCGCTCTGCATGTGGCTCCTTCTCTTTGAAGAGAGACTTCAAATGAAGCAAAGAAAGAAAGAAAGAAAGAAAACCAAAACCCACTGTCTTTTCAAAGCACTGAGCACAATGGAAAGTTGGCCTCCCCCAGGAATCTGCAGTGGGCTTTGCCAGGCCACGGCACAGAGTGGTCATGCTGGAGGGACTGTCACACCCCACATAGGCATCAGAGCCGGTGCACATGGCTGTGATCTTGGGGGGTGTTTTGGCTCACAACATTTCAGTTTGGATGCACGAAGGGGGTCATAGCAGGCTTTCTCGCCAGAAATTTGTGGGTGAGCTCAAGCAGGACAGCAAGGCTGGAGCAGGATGGAGAATGGCACCTCGTGTTCCTGGCTCACATCCATGGGTGCTGTGCATAGGCTGGTCACCCTAGTGACCTGAGCATCTCATGCCAAGGGAGCAGTCTGGAATCACTGCCCTCCCTGCTGGGGCCAAGCCACAGCCCCAGGCTGGGTCCCTTTGCCCTGGCCATGGCTGCAGGAGGTCACCCAGCCGCGGGCAGGAGGCAGACGCCTCTTGGGCTGGGATTAGCATGTGGGGAGGAAGAAAAGCTCTGATTGTTCCCTCTGTCCTGGCTCGGCTCCAGGACCACTGAGCTGGGACTCCCTGTCCCTGGGATGTGTCACCGCCTTGTAAGCATACAGGGATGCTTTCTCTGCCTGAGTGCCCATCCATGGGGATGCAGAGACTCCAAGGAAGGTGACCTGGCAACATACGAATGTATGTGTGTTTATGCATATATATTGTATGCCTGTTTTCCCCTTGGCAAGGAGTTTGGTTGCAGAAATTGAAGGGGATCCTTTCTGGGCAGTCTGTTTGGAACATTGCCTGATCCAGAGCACTGGCCCCATGCCATGCTAGAGCAGGCGAGGGCTCTGGGTCTTCCCCTGGTCTGTGGGTCCTTCCCCTTTTGTTTGTGGCCTTCAGGCAGGAAAAGAAGGGCTTGCCCTCTTTCTCCTCTCTGCGGTCGTGCTCGGTCATGGCTAGGGTTTGGCAATGCTCAGGCAGGTCATTTTCTAAACCGATGTGTGTGTTCAGGGAAGGTTTGCTGCTGCCTTTCCTCATACTGCTCTGTCAGGGGTGGGCAGTGCCCGAAAGAGCCCATCCAAGGCAGAGGAGCTCATGGGGTGCTGCAGGGTGAGGATGGGGAGCACTGTGTGGGGCCTGAAACAGAGGGTGGGAGGACATAGGAGCTGCTGTGGGGTCAGCGGGGAGATTGGGGTTGGGATGCAGCTGGGGATGGGGTCTGCAGAGATGTCCTCTGCTGCCATGTAGGGGTCTGAGGTGCCTCTGGGCTGTGGTCCCAGCTCTCCCCTTGTCCATGCAGGGAAAGATGCCTCTCAGCATCATGACTGCAGGGTCTTTTACCAGACTGGTCTTGAAGCAGTGGCCAGGTCTCAGTGGCCCTGAGACCTAGCAAACTTGTGTCAACAGTGAGCCAGCACCCAGAGCACATCCGCTTGCCACAGAGCAGCATGGGGAGCAATGGGTTCTGCCTTCTGCCTTCACTCTCTGCAGTGTTAGCAAGAAAACTGAGTCAGGAGAAGAAATTATTTTACTTTAAAGCTATTTCTCCCATCCTCTCACTAACACAGTCTCCCTGACACTCCCCCCGCCACTTCCCCTTAACTCTGGTCCACGTGGTGTTCGGAGTTATTTTTGGTTGCTGCTCTTAAGTGTATTTTAAGTCTTCTTTTTTTTTAACTTCCATCACCAAAATACTTTTCTTTCAGGCCAAACGTTCCCCGTTAGTTACCAGCATAGTTTTGGCAAGGACCTTTTAACTGAAGTTTCTTGGGAATGTTTCTATGGGTGGTTTGGTAGGAAAAGCTTATGACAGTCTCATGGAATTATTCATGCTTGGGGCTTGTGTATGAGGCTGCCTGGCTTGTTCAGGACAGGGTTGATGTGGGTGCTGCACGCTTTCCCCCCCACACCCTCCCTAGTTGCAGCACATTGCCTTGTAGCTCTTGTTTTGTTCACCACGCTGTTTGCTCTGTGGCCACGAGCCACAGGAGAGGAACCAGCAGTGGCTCTGGGGTGCCTTTGCTGGGCTGGAGCATCCCTTCCTGAGGCCCCTTGTCTGTGGAACCTGGGTGACTGAGGGGGACATGGATTTACTTACATGAGCTGCAGCCTGCTCTTGGGGCTGACAGTATCCATGTAAATAAACAGTTCTACCCATTTGTAGGGGGCGGGCAGGGGGTTATTCCAGGGAAAAATTACTCAGCTGTCTCTGCCTGCTGGGAGCAGGCTGATAGGGACACTGACGCTGCTGATATGGGTGGTGTGATGCTGGCCAGGATGGATGCCCTGAGGTGGTGCTGGCTGGCACAGACAGGGTGACACTCGCTGGTACATGTGAGGCTATGGAGGCTAGAACAGATGCCTTAGGACAGTGTTGGCTGGCACAGGCCGGGCGATGCTGTCTGGGGTGGACAGAATGATGCTGGGTGGTATGCGCAGGACAGTGCAGGCTGGAATGGATGCCTTAGAGCAGTTCTGGCTGGGCTGGCCAGGGTGATGCTGGATGGTATTGCAGAACAATGTAGGCTGGAATGGGCACTTCAGGGAGGGAGGAGACCCCACTCTATGGCTGGAGCTGATCCCTGGAGAGTTGCATTCACTGACTCAGCATTCCACACACTTCTCACTCCTGAACCACTGGTGATCTCTGAATGGGAGAAAAGGATTTCAGGGCCATTCTCCCTGAGTCCAGAGATGCTAAATTGCCTGCAAGGGCATAGACCTGCACTGACCAGCCACGTAGCGGATGCAGGGATGGGCAGGGATGTGGGACTCCCAGCCAGACCCATTCTT